GTCCTTGGACCTTAAATCACCTTGCATGAATGGTTTCTCTGTGGCTGCACCACAGAGATGAACAGAGAAATGAGGCCTAATTTGGGAAAGCTCAGAAACACTTAGTTCTGCCTTATTATTAAGCCTCGCCGCTACAATACAAACATCTTGGTTTTCACGAGCAGTTTTCAGAATATGCTTGAAACATAATTGTGTCCTTGAAAACATAACTTTTGCATATCATTGCTGAATGTTTTTGAGTTTTAAACAAAAGAATAAAAAAGTTAATTCCATGTTGAACATTTTCTGCATCGAGCCTTTATCAGGTGTGAAGGAGAAAGCGAGAGAGAATGCACAGATATGAAGCCATGGAGAACCAAAGAAAAAACAAGAGAATGAGCAGAGCAGTTAAACAAGTGTCCAAAATTCCTGTCATGACGGTGTCCTTAAACTTGCGATTGCCTTGGGAAACCATCACATTCTCACAAGGGTTCAGAGTTTTCCAAGGTTTGCTGTTCTGTCTAGAACCCCTTTTTGTGATCTTTGTTAATTAGCAATTTCCTGCTTAATTTTTCAATTCCTGGTTTTCTGTCTAAAGCCCAGTCACCACTTTGATGGTGCTTCATAATTTTTAATTTCAGCCCAGTTTACCTTACTTGCACTACTGCTTTCACTCTCCACATCTCTACTGAGCAAGGAAGCTCTTCACTCTGAGCAGAAGTTGCAGTCTTGCCTGCCCTGCAAACCCACTTGGTCCCCTTTTTTAGGAGGTTTGCTATTCAGTTTCTGTCGTACTGTACCAGGGGTTCCCTTTTTTCTTCTCTGACCCAGAGAAGTCTGTGAGGCAGTTTTCTACCTCAAGCTTGTACTCCGCTCTGTGCACAGCAGTTTTCTGGCTGAAGCCTGACCTGCAGAGTTTGGTCCTCTGTCTCAGGAGGCTTACTATTCGCTTTTCCCATACCTGAGGCTCCCTGTTTCCAGCCTGCGGATCGTGTTTGCTCGCAATATCTCAGCTCCAAGATAGCACTTTGCTGTGCTCAGCAGGTTTTGCTTTAAATCCAACCAGCCTCCGTTCTGTGCAGCAGTCTCTGCAGCTTCATTCTGTGCAGCTGTCTAACCAGCCTTAATACAGCACTTTGCTTTGTGAAGCAGTCTCAGCAGCCTCCAGCCAGCCTTCACTCTGCTGAGTCTCAGTGGTCTCAAGCCTACCCTTCAAACCCATCCAGCTCCTTCCCAGGAGGCTCACCATTCAGTTTTTCCCATATCCAAGACTCCCTATTTCTGACTGGTGGGCTATGTTTGGCAGCAATTTTGGCTTGCACAGCACAGCAGACCCAGCTCACAGCAGTAACAAGGTGAAGCAACTTCACCTGCTAACCTGCTCTACGCATTGCCTGACACAGCAGTCTTGGATTCAAGCCTTCATTCTTTTCACTCGAAACTGCGTCAACCCTCAAGCTTTACCAACCTGAAAACTTGGTACTCATGAGGACTGTCTTTCAGAGCCTATTCAGTTCACTTCTCAGGGGGTCTAGCTATGCAGTTTCTTTATATCATAGCCACCCTTTTTTCGACTGATTGACTATTCTGTAGCCTCTTTTTGCCAGGGATGCGGTTAGATGGCTTCTCCTGGATCCATCGTGTCTCCCCATTTCTTTTCTTCCCCATTACTGATCTGCCTGAGATGATTAAGCCCTGCTGGCCAGCAATCAATCATCTCATTGTCACCTTTCACTTTTCACTCTCCAGTCTCTTGCACTTGGGTTCTGACAAATCACCACCTACAGTACATAGCTGTATCCAGTTGTAACATTACAGCCTAGAGATCAATTTCCATCTTTCAGGTAAGCACTTGTTGATACATAAAAAATAATAACAGAATAACAGCAGTAAAAACATTTAAAACAAGAAAAGTAAGTCAGGAGAAAAATCATCTTAGTGTAAACAAGAAGCCAAAACCTGTTTCACTTAAAGTACAACATAAACAAATAGATGAAAATTAGACCCTACCTGCCCCAGTAATTCAGGTAGACCTAGAACCTGGCCTGTAAACACCCCAACACAAATAAAGATGGAGTTGAACTGTCCAATGGAGCCCCGGATTTGCTTGGGTGAGATCTCACCTAAATACATGGGAAGAGCACTGAGGGCAATGCCTAAAAAAAACAAAACAACATTTAGTAGATTTTTCCATCCAGTCATAAACATTTTACTTGTTTTCTACTGTGTTTTTGTCTTTCATTCCAATGAATGTAAATTTAAGCAGGGTGTTTGCATTTCACAATTCAAAAATAAGATAAATCAGACAAATGTATATCTTTGGTAACATTACTTTTCTTGATGCTATAGGCATGCATTTCAGATGTGTATTCACTATTTATCAGTGATCATCTAGCTCTTAAACCTTACATAAAGGATGATACCTTGGAAATCTTCTTCATATAAAATGTAGCTGAATTTCCACAAGATGAAAGCAAATGTTCACATTAAAAAAAACTGAATTTATAATGAACTTGGAAAAAAAAACCTGAATTGTATTAATTAAACTATGCAATGAGCCATTATATTTGGACTAAAAAAGGTGAAGTTTCCTTATTTTATGCTGGGAAATTTTTACAGTATGTTTGGAAGGTTCAAAAAGAATCCTCTTTGATGACCAATCAACATTTACGTTTAGCTTAAAATCTTGCAGTAACAAAGCATTCTAAAGCAACAAATACAATACCCTATTAAAACGGACCTTTTCCCAAATTCAAAAAAGTTTCTATGGTAAAGAACATTTTACAATGTACTGTACTTTTGGTAAGTTGCAGAGGATAATCACATACAGTATACAGTACGTAGATAAAAGTGTAGATAATAATTATTTTATGATAGAAACAATACTATATTTTCTACCCTATATAATTGTATGAAAATTGCTTTGCATGTAATAAACTTATATCTACAGATTAAACCCAAGAAAACAAAGGCCATTTCTGAACTATTAGTTTTCAGTGTCATCATATTTCTAATGGACTATTTTTCTATCACTTTGAGCCCCAGACAATACACTGTTATCACCATTAACAGTAATTAAATATTTGTACAAAGGAATAAGTAATAGTTTATTCCATGCTGAAAAGAGAAGAGAGAAAACACAATGTTTCGGCTGTGAAGCCTTCTTCAGGTGTGAGCAGGCTTCACAGCTGAAATGTTTTCAGCATGGAATAATCCTATTACTTGTTCCTTTGTAGACTATGCATGCTGACGCAGCTATCTACCTGAATTAAATATCTGTATGATAATTAATATTACCAAAGCCACTTTCACAATGGTGAAGTTCATACAGTTGATGAAATTTTTTTTACTACATTTCTGCAATCTAAAAGAATGTTCATTTCCACATTTTACCACTTCACATTCTTGTAAAATCAAGAAATACAGTACTGTTACAAATGGGGGGCTATGAAAATGGTGAAAATCAGGAATTGACTGGGATGTTTAGTCCATGAGTCATGTCCCGGATGTCAGAAGGGTAGAATGGCAGGAGAACGAAAAGACCCTATGCGTAGAGGCGAGACGGGGGTTAGCCCAGGCTCAGCTGTTCAGGGAATGCCGTATAGAAACCTATGCCCTCAGGTAGCGGACGTGGGGCGACCTGGTGCTAGGTGGATCTCAGGACATCCGAACGTCAATGCTGAGCCAAGGCAGACTGAAAGACCCGGAAAAATATAACCCCAGAGAGAGAGAAACACTGGAAGGACAGCAGAGAACCAGAAACAAGAGACAGGACAGAGAAGGAGCACCCTGTGGCTGCAGAGGGCGTGACACCTCAACTTATTAGTGATTTCTCCAGAATATAACCAAGTGGTTGGTATAATTAGAGAGTCATGAATTATTTATTCTCTGGCACAGTTTTGGTGAAAAGAGTAATAATCCAGGCACACTTGGTTAAACAAACATTTGTTAACAAGAACAAGACAAACATTATGATTCACACAACAAAACATTCACACAAGTTACTCTATTTACAGAATGTACAAACAAGGCATTCCAGAGATCTAACTTTCAAATTACCCAGAAAAAAAAACAGAATGCTACCAAGTATTGAACTCAGAACTCATTTCCCACAGAGACCACAATAAGACATAAACTGCCTTCTTAATAAACACAATACAACCTGCAGTTAAATCTGCCTCTCTACAAAACCAGATGCTACTAGATAAATGAGTGCCTATCTCCCTGTTCTAACAATGCACCCACAAGTAGGAAAGACATCACTTAATGTGGTATCCTTTTTTTGCAGGAAACCCAAGTTCCTAAAAAACAGAATAGCAAGATCTCTCTAGTAAGGTTCAGATAAAGTACTTAGCTCCAGTCAGCTTTTTATGGATGATCATGTAGCAGGAGTTCTAGCTTGAGATACTATGAAATCACTCTGGATGGCTGAATGGGCTTCCTTCTCCACTCCTTCTCTCAATCTTATAACTCATCATTTTACTTCATACCTGCAATTGTATTTGGTAGAATTTTCACTCAGGTATGGAAAGACCATTACTATTACTCAATAAAAACTATGCTTTTTCTTGGTGAACTCACTAATTGTCTTACTCTAAATATGAAATGTTCCTCAACTTTCACTCTTTGATGCTTACATTTTAACTATCTTTCTTCACTGAGGATAGGATTTTTAATTCCTTTATTTGTTCTTTTGCACCCTGCAACATTTTTTTCAGTCTTCGTGTTCAGACTTCAGTCATTTTTGCTGTTTTTCCACAGTCCAGCTGACTAACTGCGAAAGGTTGCTACTCTATTGCTCTACCTTCAGTGGCCAGAAGATGCAATACTAATTTTCCAGGTAGAGCCTTCCTAATCCATGTACAGACACCTCCAGTTAGCCCTCATTTAGCCATCTCTGTTGCTCAGTGCTACTGTTTCAGCAGAGCCTGACAAACAAGCTATCACACAACGTGTTCATATTGAACTCATGTTTCACCTCAGTATAGTATCCTGGATGTTTTTAAATTGCCTCACAGCTCAACCTCACACATCCCAGAAGCCTGTTGAGATGCCCAATCCAGTTCTAGGAAAAACTAGCTATAGAGACCTTCTGTATTCCCCTCTCCCAGCTTATCCAGTTTTCTTATGGACATCTCTCTATAGCAAACACTGACACTTGTGATATAGCAGAAGCCAGTTTAACTAACCAGTTAATAACCAGTTATTTGCCTATTTAATTCCAAGTTTAAAAAACTCTCTTCCTCCAGAGACTCTCCTATGAGTCTATCAGTTTCTCAGGAATTCCATGGAAACATATTCTATCAGGTAATTTCTAACTGGTAAAATTCAACTCTTAAGAATATTTCCATGCTCAAAGTTTATGTGTGTCTAGTTTAAAATGTGCATCTACAGTAGTTACTTCAAGTAACTGTATTGACTCAAGACAGGTTCATTGGTGTGCCCTGAAACAACAGCTTCCCAAACAATCCTCTCTATCACAAATGAAGCCTCTCTATCACAAATAATTATTGACATACAGTAGTTAACAGCAGATAGTTTGGCAGTAGAAAATGCAATAAATGGAGGATATTTGTCAGCAATGACCAATAACAGAGGACACAAATGAGGAAGTGCCTAATTGTGTAAAAAATGACATATAACCACATATAACCAAAGTGTGCCTGCAATAGAAACTGAAGTAAAACCAGCTTTTATAGATTCTTCACAGAAAGAAAAATCTGTAGTTCTAAGAAAATTAGAATGATAAAAGGCTGCATGACTCCTGCTTGAATAAAATAATTCATATTACAATTAATGTGACATTTGCCAAGGAGCCAAAGGGACCAGACAGATACAGTAAAAGCCAAACAATGCAGATAAAAAATATTTGAGAGCTGATTAATTATTTAATGTAGTAATATGGTTATACAAATTATTTTAAGCAAACAGACAGCAATGCAAAAAATGGAGTCCAAAACATAGGCAGTAACACACACTGCCAGAGTGAGAGTTTGTGTTTGAAAGGGCTGGAGTACATCAGTGGCAGAGGTAGAGAATGTTGTTGTAATGTTATCCTACAAACATATTCTTAATTGTGCTAAATAATAATTAATACTTTTACATGCATACTTCTAAAACAATTATTTTTATACTTGACTTTTTCACTGTTTTCAATAATTGTTGGTTTTGCACTTACGGGTAAACTAATAAATGCTAAACCAGATTGAGAATGACAAAACAACAGTTCTGTTATGCCACACCCCCGGAGGACTCATCATTCCACCTTGCATTCCAGCACGGTTCCCAGTTAGCCCATTTACCCCAGCCTATTTAATGCTGCTTCACACTCTCCCCTGTGCTCAGTATTAGGGTTTTTCCTTGTTAGAGCTACAGTGCCTTGCGAAAGTATTCGGCCCCCTTGAACTTTTCAACCTTTTGCCACATTTCAGGCTTCAAACATAAAGATATAAATTTTTTATTTTATGTGAAGAATCACCAACAAGTGGGACACAATTGTGAAGTGGAACGAAATCTATTGGATTTTTGAAACTTTTTTAACTAATAAAAAAATGAAAAGTGGGGCGTGCAAAATTATTCGGCCCCTTTACTTTCAGTGCAGCAAACTCACTCCAGAAGTTCAGCGAGGATCTCTGAATGATCCAATGTTGTCCTAAATGACTGATGGTGATAAATAGAATCCACCTGTGTGTAATCAAGTCTCTGTATAAATGCACCTGCTCTGTGATAGTCTCAAGGTTCTGTTGAAAGCGCAGAGAGCATCATGAAGACCAAGGAACACACCAGGCAGGTCCGTAATACTGTTGTGGAGAAGTTTAAAGCCGGATTTGGATACAAAAAGATTTCCCAAGCTTCAAACATCCCAAGGAGCACTGTGCAAGCGATCATCTTGAAATGGAAGAAGTATCAGACCACTGCAAATCTACCAAGACCTGGCCGTCCCTCTAAACTTTCAGCTCAGACAAGGAGAAGACTGATCAGAGATGCAGCCAAGAGGCCCATGATCACTCTGGATGAACTGCAGAGAACTACAGCTGAGGTGGGAGAGTCTGTCCATAGGACAACAATCAGTCTTACACTGCACAAATCTGGCCTTTATGGAAGAGTGGCAAGAAGAAAGCCATTTCTCAAAGATATCCATAAAAAGTTTCGTCTAAAGTTTGCCACAAGCCACCTGGGAGACACCCCAAACATGTGGAAGAAGGTGCTCTGGTCAGATGAAACCAAAATCGAACTTTTTGGCCACAATGCAAAACGATATGTTTGGCGTAAAAGCAACACAGCTCATCACCCTCAACACACCATCCCCACTGTCAAACATGGTGGTGGCAGCATCATGGTTTGGGCCTGCTTTTCTTCAGCAGGGACAGGGAAGATGGTTAAAATTGAGGGGAAGATGGATGCAGCCAAATACAGGACCATTCTGGATGAAAACCTGTTGGAGTCTGCAAAAGACCTGAAACTGGGACGGAGATTTATCTTCCAACAAGACAATGATCCCAAACATACAGCAAAATCTACAAAGGAATGGTTCACAAATAAACGTATCCAGGTGTTTGAATGGCCAAGTCAAAGTCCAGACCTGAATCCAATCGAGAATCTGTGGAAAGAGCTGAAAACTGCACAAACGCTCTCCATCCAACCTCACTGAGCTCGAGCTGTTTTGCAAGGAAGAATGGGCAAGAATTTCAGTCTCTCGATGTGCAAAACTGATAGAGACATACCCCAAGCGACTTGCAGCTGTAATCGCAGCAAAAGGTGGCTCTACAAAGTATTAACGCAAGGGGGCCGAATAATTTTGCATGCCCCACTTTTCATTTTTTTATTAGTTAAAAAAGTTTCAAAAATCCAATAGATTTCGTTCCACTTCACAATTGTGTCCCACTTGTTGGTGATTCTTCACATAAAATAAAAAATTTATATCTTTATGTTTGAAGCCTGAAATGTGGCAAAAGGTTGAAAAGTTCAAGGGGGCCGAATACTTTCGCAAGGCACTGTATTTCGACTTTTCGCAATTACTTACTACTTGGTTTTGGCTTCCTGACCCTGGTTTGTTCTCCGACTACTGTATGTCTCCTGGTTTTGGTACCTTGGTTATCGATCTGGTTTTGACTCTCGGCTTCCTCACAGCTTACAGCTCCGCTTCTGGTTTTGTGCTTTTGCACCAGTTAGTTTACCTTCAGCTTTTGGTCCTTGAACTGTTATATAGACTACGCCTCTAGAGATCATCCTGGTTTTTCTGCATAGGGTCCTCATTAATATTTTATAACAAGTACACATTCATTTTTGCACCATTCATTACCTCCAGAGTACAAAATGACAAAAAGTGTGGCAACACATTTGCCATTCCCAAGGGCAATGCATACAGGAAAGACAATTAGGTTGACCAGGTTTTTAATTAGACATTAGGACATGACTTCTTACATCCCAGTGTACCTTTTCACCATTAGCGTGATAATTCTAGATTAGAGAGAGATGGTCCATCATCAACATCAAAGTACCGACATCTAGGGATATCAGGTTATAAGTTTGTATGTAGCGCTGCTATTGTTGAACAGTTACATGAAGATTCATTTAAAAATGTTTTAATGACCTTTCAATAAGTTTACTCACCTGAATCAATTCCAATGATAAATCGACCCAAAATAAGCATTTCAAAGGATCCTGCTAGCTCTCCAAGAGCTAACAAAAGTGAAGCAATAACAGCAAATGCATTGTTGAGCAGCAAGGTGCCCTTCCTACAGTGATAAAAAGAGTAAAAGCAGAAATTAAGTCAAATTGAGGTTCAGAGGAGGAAATATTGGCTTGTCTAGTCGAGAGGGAGGACAATAGTTGCTGATCTAACTTGTTTTTCTTTAAAGGACAGCAAGCAAGATCATCTTGTTTTCATATTACATTTTTTTTTTAATGAAATACATTTTTTGGTCACAAATAGACCCACTGAAGATATGTAGGCATGTAGGATTTATGAGAGTTGCATATGGGGAGAGGGCTCATATTTTCATCTTAAACTACTATGCTACTGTATACATAGAGTTACATATAGTTCATCCTCCAGGTGACCAGAAAATAGATGTACTCCCTCAACAGCAGGGATTCATAAATTTCTTACTTTATACAGCCCAGCAGAAGATCATACACAACAACAAATACAGTTTGCTCAACATAATACATGAAGAAGAAAGATTTGTTTCAATAAGACCAGTTGTTTTACTGTTGGACACAACTGGACCCTTTGTCCGCTTTTCTTGTCTTATTTTTTTTCAAAGACAATCCTGCATATTCTTTCTTCGGAACACAAATTATTCTACTCATTGTGTAGGGACATGGCCTATTATTTCACTTAGAATTACTTAATTCTAAAAATGTTTGTGTGTCTGGACAAAAAAACCTGTTGCCTGTCACAAGGATGTATCAAATGAGGCCCCCTATCTGTGGTCAGCCACATGTGAGCAAGTGAGGGAGATATGCTTATCTTTTGGATAAAGATCTTTCTCGGGACAGTCTAGATCCATTATCAATACTCCCTTAAGGTGGATGTCCACTGCTGGGGCCTGGATGTCTGGCAGAGGGATATAGGCACATCTGGAGATAATCCTAAAAATCACAAGGCATAGTCAATCATCCAGCAAGATGACCAACCAGTCAGGAATCTGCAGGGTGTGGGTACCCACTCCACCTGGTAGCTTCTTTGCCAATTACCAACCATATTTCCCCAGTTAAAAAGCGGTACATCACCTCTACTTCCGCCACTGTCCTCTCTCCGCTGAACCAACTTGGCTGACAACAGAACCAAGTACCCGCCACACTTGTTGTCTGAGCTTTGGGACTTTTTCTGAAGTGCCGAGTTAGGGAGTGAGCCCGTATGTAAAGACAGAATTCTGCCTGAGGTCTAGCATGCAGCAGAACCTTGAGACGAGCTACTAGCTACGACCGTGCACCCGCTTGATCACCGGAGCATTACTGATGGACTTTTTGTTGACACACCTGCATAAGGCATTATTCAGAAGTAGTTGCTATTCCAGGAGCAAACTGAGTTTCTCCTCTTTTAGTGTGACTCGTCCCAACTGAGCAATTGCTTGCTTCCTATGCAAGCAAGTCCTATGCATTCCTATGTCCCAGTTCAGCTCAACTATAATTCATGCACTCTCTTGAGAATAAAAATATTGTATTAACACATTCATATCAATTTAATTCATTTAAGTAGGTAGATAAGAGTGTCTGAATGTTAATTATTTTAATGAGCCCGATGAGGAAGTTGGTCTAACCAATGGTATTCTAAGATCATATCCCTGTTTTATTAATCTTTTCGTTATTTTATGTACAGTATACTTTGTTTCTATGTATAAATAAATGTATTGTGTGTTGTAAATCCTTGTGAAGTCTCCTTGTTGTCTGGCTGATTGATTCCTAATAGTGAAAATAAACTACACAAATAGTCAACTAAATAGTGTGCCATTAAATTTACAAAACCCCTACAACTGCAATTGAATATTTGTTGTGGAAGTGATATTCTGTTCTATTTTGATGTGTATATACTGAGGATGCTTTTATATTCATTATACTTCGTAATTCCATCACTGTGACACTGCCCAGTTGAAGAACAGTATTAAGGCATATAAACTATGGTTTGAATTTTGCTTTTAATGTGTTTTCTTTTCTCTTTATTCTGGCAGTTATACACACAACAGAGTTAGTTACTTTTTGTCTTTTTGATTATTTTTAGAGTGATCTTAGTGTCCATCTTCCAAGGAATAGGCTTCTCTACACTTCTGGTTTTAAATGTATGTTATGATAAAATTATAATTATGGCCTAAAACTTATATTGCTTGAATTCAACAATTTAGAAAACCATATGTTTGAATTTCTATGTCATAGGAATTTCCAGAACATTGTAGCGCTCTCAGGTTCACGTGGGTATGCACCCTAGCATCTGCTGCCTCAGGTTGGCCCCCCACCGCTGGGGACTTAAAGCCGGGCCTCCGTAGTCCAACAGGGACCAAGCCAGCTGTGCTAAAGGGAGATCTCCCTTCAGCCCAAAGGCTGAGGTCCCTATTCACAGGGAAGGGTGGTGACATCACTGTGGTGGTAAGCCGGCTCGCACAACCTCTAATGTCTGCCATATGAGTTACAATATTTAAATCACGTGTTACGAAGCGGCTTTCAGGACCCTATGAAGACAGGCATAATCTGGAGGGGAGTGAGAAACAGCGGGAAAAAAGGACTAGAATAGGGGCTGGAAGAAGTACAGGGGGGTGTCCAAGGTGCTCAGGGAGGTGAGGTCCAAGGCAAACAAGTCCGAGGGGTGTTCATAGGAGATCCAGGGGATGCAAATGTCCTGAGCCGTGTGGTCCATCCGTGACAAAGATGAGACAAAGTTAAAAGTCGGAGCGGGATCTAGCGAAGGGTCGGGGGAATAAAAAAGGGTAACGGGGCCAGGTGTCCATGCCCCTGGACCCAGATGGTCAGGACGCCTGCGAAAAGACCTGCCTTCGGACAACCTGGAAAATAGGCAAGCCCTGTGGCATCCATCTTCCAAAGCTGAGCCTGGAATAGTGGGAGCATCTGGCTTTTAAAGGGGAAACTGGAACAGGAGGTAGGTGCAGGAGATCAGGTAAAATGTGAAAGAGCCGGAGCGCCCTTAAGGGGGAGAGATTACAATCATGACATCAAGAGGACCATCTTAACTTTGATTTTCACAATTATTAAAATAAATATAGTCATTACTCATTACTTTTCTTTAGATAAAATAAATATGTGCTTGAAGTAATCAAGATAAAAGATAAAATCAGTGAAATTGGATTAAGCAACAAACTTGAAGATCAATTCTGTAATGCACCACTTAATACTACTATATTATACTTACCACCAGTTGATTCAGCACATCCAATGTGTTTGATTCATCGGCTATTTTAGGGGTACTTAAAATTTAAATGCTCAGAATTTGTGGAGTATATCCTTACTATCTCTTGAAACAGGTTCCACAGAGAAGAGTATCAAGCACTGGTCCATTAACACCACTTGTGTTATAGAAGCAACCATCTCTAAATTTCCTTAGAGATTTGCCATCTCAGTGAAGATCAAACCCAGCTTGTTTAGATTCTCTTGACAATATCAGTTTAAAAGGCACTAATGCTCTGCTGCTATTTCAAAATCTATACCAATGATCTAAAGTCTGCTATAGTGAATAAAAGTTTCATAATCTGCAAATGACACAAAATAAGTAATGATACTACTAGTTTCAGAGCACCACAATAAATACAATGAGTTTCAGTCAGTATTCAGGACTGAGTGGATACCTACAGTAGCACATAGAATTGACCATACTGTACTGTATAAAAAGTAAGTGTACAGGATGTCTTATTTATCTATGACAAATTTATATTTAATAAATAATGTTTAAATAGATTTAATGGAGTGTAGTTATGCCTTTGACTAATTGATAATGTTACAGTTAAATGGGGGTGGTCAGCATTTGACTTTTGTCAACATTTGCAGTTCTCAAGAACATCAAAACAAGAAAGGATCTGAGGGGTTTACTGAATTGAATTGGGTCTGAGACACACTGATCAATGGAATTGTCTGGTTTACTTTGGTTAATTAAGTTCTTGGTAAATCAATAAGAGTTAGCAACAGTCTGGGGACAAAAAATAAAAAGACAGAGAAAAGAGGGGAGAAAGGGAAGGAGAGATGATGGACAGAAAGACCCAAGGAGAGAAAAGATACAGGAGGAAAGTCCTTGTTCTGATCATTGTTTAAGACCCGATTTGAGATTTGAGTTAAGTGTTGGAGCTCACCATTCTGTTGTTTTTAGGAAACTCTGATTCCCTGTACAGAGAATCCCAAGGTTAAAAATGGTCTTTACTGTTTAGTGGATGTATTTTTAGAATAGGGAGAATAGGTTTCCCATTCACTCTGTAGCATTCAGATTTTTATATAGAGAGATTTAACTGTAGGTCATATTCTGTTTAGTTTAGAAGGCAGGTTTATCTGTCTTATTGGCCTATGTAGGTGTTACATATGATCTGAATATTTGGTAGCAGCCTGCTGCTTGTACATACATAAACTTGTATGTTGTACAATATGTTTATGTTGTGTACTTTATGATGTGTTCCATTGTCATTATTATTTTTTTTTAATGCCCAATTATTACTCTTTTCACCGAAGCTGTGCCAGAGAACAAATAATTAAAGTGCCTATAATAATACCATCCATTTGGGTATATTACTGGCATATATCGTTACAATTTGGGAGTTGCAATTATTTATTTTAAAGAGGATCTGCAGTCCCAATTTCTCACACCAGCAACAAAATTAATTTTAAAGCTGCAGCAATGGCAAATTAAGAGAATACTTCCAGACTCTTGAGCACTGTCAAGGCATGCAAGTATATTGTACTTGAAATTAAAATATATGTATATATAAATTAGCCAATTTAATATATTAATGTTCTTAGGAGTTCTTTATCAACCACGTTTTTGACAGAATGTAATCAGAATCAATGCAACCATGGACTTTTTTACTAGAAACAGTACTTGAGGGTTATTACTTTAATGGAATATACAGAGGCCTTACAAATCAGTCATGGTTAAAATAGGATAATATTATGGATAATAGGATTATACTATGACTGAAATTATATTATTGTGATTAAAATTGGAAATACTTTTTATCCTCATTGTAAAATTTTATACAGTATCGTGTAAGTTCTGCGGTCTAAGTAACCCTCAAACCAGAAG